AGGAGCCGAACACCTGGGGCCTGCCAGCGGCGCCCGGGCACGAAGCTCCACCTGGGCTGCAGTACAACCGCGGGGCTTTTCGCCGTGACCCGCTTTCACCCTGACCTGCCTCAGCGGGGGATATTGAGCGCCGGGGCCGACGTTTCCCAGTCGTGGAAGAACGCCAGCAGCTGTCTGTCCGCAGGCACGGATCCAGCACGACTCGTTTTCAAAGCATCCTTGGGGACTCTCGGAGGCCAACGGTGAGCCAGGCGTGCGGGACCACCGCGGCCCAGGGGTCCGTGGCTGATGGGGGGGTGGGTCTCACTTGGGAGCCAGATGGGACTCCTCGAAAGTGGCACACGGGACGGTGGAAGGGCCCACCGGCTCTGGGAGGAGCAGCCAGGTCTCTGCCTGGGGTCCCCAGAGCAGATACTCGCTCAGGAAGAGCAGCGATGCTCCCTCCATCAGCAAGGAAAACACTATTTCTCCATCTGTCCAGCTCTGGCAGGGAAGGTACAATAATTATCATCTTCATCCAGAGCCTAAAACAAGTAACGTGGCCAGCTAGGGGAAAAGCACTGAAATCAGGGGGAAATTGTCACTTGGGGACAACTCCGTGTGGAGCAAAAAATAACTGCACGTTTGACCTTAAAGGCTGTGATGCATCCTGGTGCTGGCGATGTCCCAGAGGCCGGAACCATCAGCCGAAAGCCCCAGGAGGAAAGCAGCCTGGGAAAGGGGCTACGCATAGCCGTCTGGCATCGGCCGAGCACGGCGGAGCTCAGCCAAGCCCGAGCGTTGCACGCGGGAGCCGGCGCGCTTGGCAGCCGCCCTGAGAAACTGCGTTAACAAACAAACACATCGCCTTGATAAATCACTTCTGCGCTTTCTTTGAAGGTGGGAACCAAAACAAGGGAGAAGCAATTTTTCTCTGGGATTGCGAAGTCTGCCCGCAGAGGGATGCTGACCTTGCACCCGCTGCGGCCTGGCCAGGGAGAGGCTGCCCGCGGTCCCGCTCTCCCAGGCTTTGAGGACGCACGAAGCAGGGAAAACTCCTGGCCCAGCATTAATCCGGCTCTGGCAAACCATCTGGCTTTGTTTGCGGGGACTGTCCCCCCATCCTCACCCCAGGTCTGCCCCCGCTTCCCTCCCTGCGAGGACTCGACGCGCAATGACCACTCTCCGGCGAGGCAGGTTTGGCTCCAGCGGGTTTTATCTCTAGAGGAGGAGAACAGCACCGCGAACGGTACAAGATTTGGGGGGTCACAGAGCAGCGGTGAGATGACGGACACAGCACCCGGGGCCACGCAGCGACGGTCGCAGCCAAGCATCATGCGAGGTGGCCGGGGAAGAGGGGCTTGCCAGGACCGGTGCTCTGCACTGAACCCTCGAGACACCCCACTGGGCAAACGCCACAGGATGATGGAGCTTTACCGGGGCCCCACAGGGCAGCCGAAAGCCCCCGGACCAGCCTCTACCCCCTCCGGGATGGCACCGTGTCCCCCTCAGCTCCCCTCCCGCACGCAGGGCGGGCAACTAAAAGCAGCAGTTGGCTCAGGTGGTCAAGCCACTAAATCAGG